CGATTCAAATCTGAGGTAGGACGTTATCTGATGATGTTTGATCAAATGTTGCGCCGACAGTTTGGGAAGAGACTCAAGCGCATACAGACAGACAATGAACATGAGTTTAATACTCTTGCTCTTAGGGCGTACTATGAGAGTGAAGGAATTCAGTTACAGACCTCGTGCACTGACACTCCCCAGCAGAATGGAGTTGTCGAGAGGAAGCATCGGCATATTTTGGACACAGCCAGAGCATTGCGTTTTCAGGCTAGCTTACCTGTTCGGTTTTGGGGAGAATGCATTCTCACTGCCGTTTATCTGATTAACCGCTTGCCTACTACAGCTACAGGGCGGACACCATTTGAAGTATTATTTGACAAGCCTGCTCCGTATTCGCATCTTCGGGTTTTTGGTTGCTTGGCATATATCAAAGACACACATGCATCCCTTGATAAGTTCGCTGAACGGGGAAAGGCTTGTACCTTCATTGGTTATGCTTCTAGCCAAAAGGGCTACCGTTTTTACGAGCTGGCCACGGGACGTGTCATTGTGTCTCGTGACGTTCAGTTTTATGAGAATGAGTTCCCCTTTCAAGAGGGCATGGCCAGTTGCTTGCACTGGATCCCGAGGCCAGTTTTCCACAATCCGGCGCCTGATTCCGATGAGGAATTGCTGGCTGATGCGATGGCTCCCGACAGTCCGCGGTCGCCGCAACTCACCCCAGCCACGAGGACATCTTCTCCCGCATCGCCATCTTCCACCGATGATCAGCTTTCCTCCTCGTCGCCCACTGTTCCTCCACCTCCTCGACGTGGCGACAGAGTCAGAGTTCGGCCGAAGCACTTGGGGCTTTATGATACACAGTTTGCCCCATTACATGATCAAAATAATGAGGGAAGTACTTCCCATGTTGTTTCTTATCCCATCACAGATTCCATTTCCTATGATAATTTTCGTCCCACTTATCGTGCTTTCCTTGCTGCAGTAACTAGCCATGATGTTCCTCGGAACTACCGCGAAGCTTTGGCTGATCCTGGTTGGCGCGAAGCCATGCTTCAAGAAATTCGTGCTCTCCAGCAAAATGGTACGTGGGACCTAGTCAATTTGCCTCCGAGACATCGCACCATTGCAGCCAAATGGGTATTTAAAATTAATTATCGGCCGGATGGTTCGATCGAGCGCTACAAGGCGCGTCTTGTTGCCAAGGGCTACACACAGATCGAAGGCATTGACTTCCACGATACCTTTGCTCCTGTCGCAAAATTGGTAACTGTCCGCTGTCTCCTAGCCGTTGCCGTCAGTCGTGGCTGGGAACTTCATCAACTTGACGTTAATAATGCTTTCCTTCACGGGGATCTTGAAGAAGAGGTCTACATGGCCGTTCCTCCTGGTTTTGCTAGTCCAGGCGATGCTCGGGTGTGCCGCCTTCGAAAATCTCTGTATGGTCTTCGACAGGCCTCCCGCAACTGGTACCACAAGTTCACGGCTGCTCTCTGCAGTCTCGATTTCGTCTCATCACCTGCCGATCACTCTCTGTTTATTTTTCGGCGGGGGAGCACGTTTGTTGCTGCTCTCATTTATGTCGACGACGTCATCTTGACTGGTAACGACCTTGCCTTTATTGCCCATGTCAAGCGTTTCCTCGACACTGAGTTCAACATTAAAGATTTGGGTGCTCTTCGCTACTTCCTGGGCATGGAGCTTGCTCGTACTCCGGATGGAGTGGTCTTATGTCAGCGCAAATACACCTTAGACATCCTCGAAGATGCTGGCGTGGAAGGGACTCGCCCTAGTGCATTCCCGGTCAAGCAGAACCATCATCTCACCCGATCTTCCTCTGATGACGAGCTCCTTGCCGATCCTTCCAGCTACCGTCGCCTTGTGGGGCGTCTTTTATATCTCACGGTGACTCGCCCAGACATCACCTACAGTGTTAACATACTGAGCCAGTTCGTCAATGCTCCGAGTCGTCAACACATGGAAGCTGCATTACGTGTCCTGCGATACCTCAAGACCTCCCCAGGCCAAGGTATTTTTCTTCCGAAGTCTAATGATCTTACTCTGACAGCCTACTGTGATGCAGATTGGGGAGGTTGTGAGAGTACTCGTCGTTCCACGACCGGTTACTTTATTACTCTGGGTGGTGCCCCGATCTCCTGGCGCACCAAGAAGGAAAATGCCGTTGCTCGCTCTTCTGCAGAGGCAGAATATCGTGCCATGGCTAGTATTGTGAGCGAGGTGATCTGGCTCCGTTGGCTCCTCACTAAACTTGGAGTCCCTCAGTCGTGTGCTACACCCCTCTACTGCGACAATCAGGCAGCTCTTCACACCTCTGCTAACCCGGTGTTTCACGAGCGCACCAAACACGTGGAGATGGACTGCTATTTCGTCCGCGAGCGAGTTCAGTCTGGTGTTGTTTCTCCTCTCAAGGTCAGCTATCATTTGCAGTTGGCGGACATATTCACCAAAGGTTTGGGTGCCGAAAGATTTTGTTTCCTCCTATCCAAGCTGAACGTTCGTGACCTTCACGCTCCAGCTTGCGGGGGAGTATTGGAGCAGGTACATGGGCCTATGCTGCAGCCCACGTCACGCCATGCAGCCCGACGTACCATCAATCAACCCAAAGCCCATGCACTCTCTACTCCTTCCGCTGCATGCATGGACAACGGGTTAGAAGATAATAATACACATGATGTAACCCTAGTTTCTGGTGGAAAGGGTATAAATACTTCTTGTACGCGGCCTAAGCCGCTTGGTGTGTGATCACAATCTAATAACATCAGTAGCCGGAGAGGTTCAAACTCTCCAGTGGATTAGTCCCGATTCGTCGGGGATACCACTTTAAATCGCGTCTCATTCTTATTTTACATGGTATCAGAGCCTTCTGTGACCGAGAGGTCTTGTGTTCGATTCCTGGTGACCCCCATTTGTTAAGCACATGGTATTCTTGTCTTTAGACCTGTGCAAACTTCAAGCCCCCGTGAGTGGCTTTCGTTTGAGGGGGCGTGTTAGTGTTGTGATATATGATCCACGATTGAACCTCTCACAACAACTCGAGTTATTGGGATCAATTGGTTCTTTACACTATACGACGGATACCACCCCCTGGTTTAACAAGTGGCGTGAGCGGAGCACTAACAATGTACACACCAAGGGGTTGCGGACATCGAATCTCAAGGAAAAGATTAACCACCCGAGTAATAGAGGTCATCAAATCATCCGAGATAGCAACAAGATGTACCACGAGGGAAGCTCATAATCATATCCTAAACAACAACCGGAGAGGCAACTAGAGGATGATGATCCACATGTGAAGCAGATAGAGAGGGAGATGGGGCGACATAATGCTTATCTTGCAGAGCCAGAAGAGTGGCATCAGAATAAGGGGCAACACCAGATGAAGAAAGCACCCGAATAGCAGCAGTATAATGCCCATCACAAATCTTCCTCCGACGTTGCCGAAGGTTGAGCTCACTCAAAACAAGATCCTCCTCCACAACAAATGAAGGCAGAGTCTCATCTAAAGTCTCTCACAAAGGCTGCAAACCGCCACCTGCCCCTCAAGCAAGAATGGCACTAGTTACACTCTCCTCCTGACGAAGTCGTCTAACACCGGAACGACACTCAAGATTACTCCGCGGAGAAAAGATATTAAGCACGCAAAAGCGAATCCCGCAGGAGAGGTCACCAGGGGAAACACCCACATCATCCAATGCCCCTTTCAGAGCTCGTGCGAACCCAAGACGACACTTAGGAGAGATAGATTTCATGGTGCGAAGACCCATAAAGAACAAACGATCAAGCAAAGAGATAGACCAACCCCCAGGCTCAAACCTAGCATCAGATGAGAGAACCGACAAAGACGGAGCCGGAGGTCTGGGAATATCATAAATAATAAAACGAACAAAACCTTCACCAGAATCAGGAGGATCCACAACAACATCATCATCATGCCGACATTTAGAACGGAAGGTGTGAGTACGAAGGCATACCCCACAAATCCAAACCCCCCATCCGCTTTAGAGTAGTTTCAGCATTAGAAAACACGGTTAAACTATCAGAAAGAGTTAGACGTGTAAAAACCATAGCTTCACTGCGACAATGCCTATCTTTAAAGAGCTGGAGCAAGGAGGATTTAGTAAGACCCTTAACTCGACCATCTTGACACTCATGGAGACCGTCAAAAAGGACAGTGATAACGAACAAGAGTGAGCATGATGACAGAACCCTAATCCCAACCTGCCACACTTCTCCTTCTCAATTTCCACTGATCGAATAATTAAATAATGGGATGCAACTGTGCATTGCACTAATGTGGCGACGCCCACAAGCCTCTTCCCGACGCTGTGATTGTCACCATTCTTGACCCGATAGCATCGACTGCGATCCTCCCAAACAAAAAGGAAGAAAGAGGGCCAATTGCGAATCACAAAGTAGCTTCAGCCTAAGCTATTCGGTTGCCCCGCCGGTGACTGGAATTATTTTGCTTGTTGCTGCAACTTCAGAATTCCCTTTTATTCGCTTGTTGCCGCAGCACTGCGCCACCGCCGCACGAGAGCAGAATTCCCATCAAACTCACCCCCGCAGGCCAAATCCAAGCAACTTTAAAACCCTAATATGTTTTTATTATACTTGAGATTTTTTTCGTATTTGTTTTGTTGAGTATTGACACGCCACACCATTGTTTGTTTTTATATATTTTGAGATGATTTGTGGAGCTAGCATTTGTGTTTCTATGTTTGATTTGTAATTTTGAAGGAAATTATGTTGGTATTTGGTATATACCTATACTAAACTGAATTTTAGGAATTGACATTAGGATACCGAATTAATTTTGAAATTAGGATTGAATATAGGACATTATTTGATATTTGATATTTCGGTATTTGATACGGAATACCGATACTGTACCGATTTCCATGTTAATTGTCATCACTAAACACACTAGAGTAGCCTCTCCCGAGCAAGAAATGTGGAATGGACGAACGACGATATAATACTTTTCCAAAAAAAAAGAAGAAAAAAAGAGAAGAACATTATCGCTCGCTAAAGAGAGTAGTGAGTAGTGACCCAACGTTTTTCTCGATCCAGCGTTCGACACACAGCCACAGGATGAACTCATGCCACGCCTACGTGGCGAGATCTGGAAGCCGTACGAGTTCTGGTGGGTCAGCAAGCGAGAAGAACCGGTCTATCAGGTGCGGCTTATGACTTGCCCATGCCCGCTGCTTTCTCTTCTCCAACACCTACCGATAGGTTCGGTAGCGCGGAGGGTCAATGATAAGGAAAAGAGCCAAAAGGGGTTTAACTGTTTATTGTTTAAGCAAAAGCGGGTTTGGGTGGTTGGGTTTTTGGAGGGTTTTGGCTTGCATACCGAGGGAGAGTTTGAGAGAGAGAGAAGGAGAGGGAAAGAGAGTTTCGTGTTCTTTTTGGGGTTTCTTTCTTTTAAATTGTTTTCCTGCCTTGCTTTTCTGGAGAGGGAGAGCAGAAAATGCTGGAGAAATAGGTAGCGTTTCAAGCGACGATTCTCCAGTGAGTGATTGAGAGAGAGAATTATGGGTTAGGAAATGAGAGATGTTTCACTGTTGGGAGGGGATAGAGATAGAGCAAGTGTGTCGTGAGGTGTGCTTGTGTTTGTTGCAGAAAGAAGGGCAATTCTTCTGTGCTGTTTTCTTTTTATTTCTTGGTATAACTGTATTACGCAACCAAAGGTCCTGAATTTCGATCTGGGCTTGCATTACGGTGAAGGAATTCTTTCTGGGTTGCTAGCTAGCTGGTGAGATTTCTGATGCTCATCGGTTTCTTTGTCTCTCTGGTTTTTGGTACCCGAAGTGCGTTTGTTATGGGGTTTTCTTTTGTTCCCCCTTTAAATTTGTGGGTGAGATGTGACGTTTTTGGTGGTAGCTTGTTTGGTTACTGGGAATATTGCGAGGAAAGCGAAGCAAAGAGCCGACAGCGATACTGGAACGTGGGGGGAATTCGAGAATTCGACTTCAAAATTCCCACTTTCATTTTTCAATTCACTTGGCAAAGTTTCTACCCAAGTTTCTATTCTTCTGCTCCAAAACCCTTCAGTTTTGTACATCTGGGTCCGTAAGATTGATCCTTATTGAGAGATGTTTGCAGATCCTTCAAGTTTGATCCTTCATCTGAATATTTTGCATAATTTTTCAAAATAAAAACTTCCTATGTTGATCCTTTGCTTCAGGGTTTTACTGTGGTTTTAGTTTTGTTTTTTGCGTTTCCTTCTGTCGATCTTCTTATTCTCTGCCTTTCTGTTTTGTCGGATTTCACTAAGTCAGTAGTAACTTTTGTGCATGAAAATAACATAGAATTTCATGGAATCTAACGATGATCTGGCGACACTAAAGACATGGAGTCATTAAAACCTTCCTCAATTCTGGTTCGGGTATGTTTTGGTCTACATGTGCGGATCTCTGGTTATGATTTTGCTCTGTGGGGATTCTGGGTGGGCCAAATGGGTAGGTACAGAATGTGGCCAATATAAGTCTGATTTGAGGCAGTAGGTGCAAATCTCAAGTCAATGGTGTCAAATGATCACCTGAAGCTTGCTCATTTCCAGTTTTTGGTTTCATCTCAGAGGATGCTAAAACAATTATTTTTGGAATATGGATTCTTCTTTACTGCCTAGAAACAGTATTTTCGATTCTTCCGAGTAGTTTGAGTGTCTTGTGGTTATCATGCCGCTTAGGCCTTAGGGTAATGTTATGTCCTGTGTTTCTGGACTCCGTTTGATGGAGAAGATGCTCCCTTCATTCTTTGGTCTCTTCTTTGTTTCTGTTCTGGTTGACCTTATTAAATTCGTTTGTTCAGGTGTGCAAGCTTTGAAATATATAAACATTTGATGCTACATATTTGTTTGTTTCTCAGGTTCTTGTTGTTGGCTTCTGTTAACTTTTTGATTGGTCGCTCTGCCGCACGACTTTGATAAATAATTGGATCTTGAAATGCATCTTTCTTGGCGTTTTCACTGAGATATGGTGTTGAAGAGGAGGTTAGACTATGAATTCAATGGCTACGAGTTCCCCCCTGTACCCAGAGCTGCCAGATCAGCTAGGGTAATTTTATCTGTTGGTGCCCTGCGCTATTACTGATGCTCCGCATTATCTCATTTTTCTTTCCTCTTGCCTTATATGGTTATTACTCTCTTGTTCAGAGGAGGGTTCCCTTCAAGAAGCGGTTTCAAGAGAATCAGATGTGCGCCTTTGACTTGTTGGCTGTGGTAGCTGGGAAGTTGTTGCTCGAGAAAGATACTGCTCTTGAGTCTAGTAACATAGAGCCTATTGACGAGTCTGCTGTAAACAAGGTACGTGAAATTGAGGGAAAAAATTCGGAAGCAAAAGTTCACGATCAAGGAAGTCCTGCTAGAAGCGTCTTTGTATCTGAGCTTCTCCATGTCGTTCCTGAGGAAGATCATTGTCATAAAGAACCATTGTGTTGTGAGAATGATAATAATGCAGGATTGCTCTCTCCAGCTGCAACCTCTGGTTGCAAGGAGAAGTTCTATGGCGATAAGGTTGTAAATAGAGAAATTAAGAATGCCATAGGAACTTTTTCTCCTAGCAAGGTGGAGGTTGGTTTCTCAGGGAACATTGATGATTCTATTGACACTAAAGTAGATGTGAAAGTTGAACATGACCTAAAAGATGAGTCGTATAAGTCTGAGAAGCTGGAAAATGAAACTGCTGGTGGTATGTTCAGCTCAGACAGTACATTATGTGCAGATCACATTCCTCATTGTTTTAATCCTGCAAATGAGGATGTTGTAAATATAGTTAGTAGTAGAGATGATGACGAAAATTCTTCAGGGTGTACTGAGCCTAGCACCATGAAAAGGTTTTTTAGGCGGACTCCGCGTATTGGAGACCGAAGAATCAAGAAAATTTTGGCTTCGAGATGTTGGAAGGTAGCCTCAAGATTGAAAGATGCAAGCTTTTCAAACAGACGTAAGAGGCCCTTTTCTTTTCCATGTTCACATCCATTATCAAGTTACCTTACTGATTAACAGGTATTTTCTGTGTCTAGAAGGCGATTTGAAGCCCTTTTATCATACTGGGAAGAACTATAAACTTGACAGATCCGAAAGGCTATATCCTATAAAAAAGAGGAGACGCTTCAGCTCTAGCTTACCATCAAATTCTGGTGGGATGATTTATACTGATTTAGCTCAGAAGGGCTGCAATGGAGATGGGTCTGGTATGCTTCAAATGCTCCCTTTAGTTTCTTTTATTTATTTATTTAATATTTTTAAAACTCGTATTCTACTTTTGGATATCGGAAATGATATCTAGCTTGATGTCAGTCATAATCCACTAAGCAATTCGTACTTTATTTCTCTGCAGCCAATGGGTCTTTAGAGTCATCCTCAAGTGCTGGGAAACAGGGTTCATTCCAACCTAGAGATTCTCAGGGTATGGGACACCTTTAATGGAAAGATTTTTTTAGATCCTTTTCTACTTGTTTGGTGTCAGCTACTTAAAACTTAAAAGAGTGCTCATACAAAGTTTTCCTTTTGCTCAGTGAAGCTTCGGATAAAGTCGTTCAGGGTGCCTGAGCTTTTCATTGAGATCCCAGAGACTGCCACCATTGGTTCGTTGAAGGTACGATGGCGTCAACTTGCCATAAGACAAGCTGATGTTATCTTTTCAACATGAGTGTGAGGGAGACAGGAGTTATGTTTTGTAATCCTCTTATTATTATGCTTTTTATAATACCGTCTTTCGTTCTTATGGTTGAGCATGCCTACTCATAAACTGTTCAACTTTCTGTAGAGGACTGTGGTGGATGCTTTCACAGCAATACTTGGAGGCGGAGTGCGTGTTGGTGTTCTTCTTCATGGAAGGAAGGTTAGGGAGGACCATAAGACATTATTGCAGACTGGTATTTCGCATAGTAACCACTCTGATGCTCTGGGTTTTAGTCTCGAGCCTAATCCCTTGCGTAGCAATGGTTCTGTGTGCTCTGGAGATTTAAATACTGCAGTTTCCTACCAGACACCACAGCCTCTTAGCAGGTAATGGGAACTATACCTGTAGAGAAACTTTTATTTCCTTAATTTCACAATCACTTATGCTCAGCTAGCTTCTCAGATTCAGGAAACGTTGAAGGATAATATTAGTACCTCATTGCTGTGATAATACTTTCCGTGGCAGGTATCCACACACTCCAAGTACAGTCCATCAGGGTACTGGTAATGCTTCTCCCGAGCCTCAAACGGTCATTCTGGGGAATTTGGTTGAAAGTGACCATGACTCTGCTCCTTCCCCTACAGACAACATAATTGCCGGAATCAGTAGCGATCTAAAAGATATGTTGGCGGTACCAGCTATGAATGCAGCGGCAGGTTCTTTAGCTGTGGTTTCAGCCAACCGGAAATCCAAGCGAGCTGAGATGGCTCAGCGCCGAATTCGTCGACCTTTCTCTGTTTCTGAAGTTGAAGCATTGGTACAAGCTGTTGAACAACTTGGAACTGGGAGGTATTGAAACTGTCCAGCGGACTCACTGTAGAGTTAAGCAAAAGATTGTTTGTTGGTAAATGGATTCATAAGTTCTCTGGGTCTTTTTACATTTTGCAGATGGCGTGATGTCAAAGTGAGAGCTTTTGATCATGCAAAGCACCGAACTTACGTGGATTTGAAGGCAAGTTTTCTCATGCTTTTTGGTACATGTTTTTTTCTATATTTGGAGGGATGAAAGTAGTTTCAGTTCTAATCAAATCTTCATTCTTATAAAATCCCGTAAGAGCCCTGTCAGAATTAGTGGTGGAGGGCTGTCAGAATTACGTGGGTTTGAGGACCCCATAGGTTAATAAATTTCAGGAATTCGTACATTATATGAAGGGAAAATTATTTAAGTATGTAGTTCCAGATTTTTGTGGCCTTTTCTGTTGCAGACAAATGACTAGCTGTCCTATTCTTAATTTCAGATGGGGTTTGTTTTAGATCCATCTTTCATCTCTTTCCATCACATTGCTTGTTCGTTGGATACAAACTTGGGAAATCTGGAATCTGTCCGGATTAAAAGCAAACCCAGAAGAAGAGGGATGAGAAATGAGGTTAAGATGTCTGTCTTGTATGTTTTGAACTTCTCTAGGTACATTGACCAGCGTGTGTGTAGGTAGATGGTAGCACGGCGGGTTTTGGGAGGGATTGGTCTATTCCCATCCCATTTCTAAATCTCCAAACTCACATCCTTCCTATCTGTATACGGGGGAGGTTTTGCGAACCCATTTCATTTCGTGGTTTTCAAATACTCATGGGTAACCCCTTTCTCGTACCTCTGATCAACAGTGAACATAATGGAAATTCTACTTCTTTTTTAATGAATGTTGGCCCCAGTCATCACATAGATGTATTATACATTGGTCACTTGTATCTCTAAAAATGGGGGAGATAATACTTAGTAGCCTTAGCGGGGCAGGTGCGGGGGAGTCACACCCATCCCTATCTGTGTGGGGCTCTTGGATTAGTGCCATCATTACTATTACTACAAAATGTGGGGTTTGGTTTGGCTATCTGATCTGGCTGATCAATTTTCTGTCTTTCTTTCTTTCTCTCTGTGAACAGGATAAGTGGAAAACACTGGTCCATACGGCAAGAATATCTCCACAACAAAGGAGGGGAGAGGCAGTACCCCAAGAACTGCTGGACAGGGTCCTAACTGCTCATGCATATTGGTCCCACCAACAACAGCTCAATCAGCAGCAACTCTCAGACTCTTGTACTTTTCCTGCTCCTCTGCTAGCTATGCCTTAAAGACAGTGGATTAGCTGCTGAAGACCCCAATTCAGGTTAGCTGGTTTATAAGGGAATATGTAAAGGCAAGGGATGTGACAGTTGTGGGGAGGGTATTTGGTATTCTAGTATTTGATATTTTGCAGTCATTTCTCATGGTTGATTCTTTCCCTTGTTGGATTGGTTTGACGAATGTAAATTGATGACATTAAGAATGGGTAAATGACACATTTGGTCACTGAGATTACTAAATCGTGTCATATTTAGTCACTAGAAAAATTTAATATAAATTTTGGTCACTCGAATTACTGAAACAGGTCACATTTGGTCACTCTTCTGTAGCTTCTGTCCAACTCCGGTCACTCGAATTATTGAAAAATGTCACATTTAGTCACTCGGATTACTGAAACATGTCATATTTAGTCACTCTCCCAAAAGTTTCTGTCCAAATACATTAATGGAGTTGGACGGAAACTGACAGGAGAGTGACTAAATTTGACCAGTTTCGATAATTCGAGTGATCAAAATTGATATTAATTTTTTCTAGTAACTAAACATGACACAATTTAATAATCTCAGTGACCAAATGTGTTATTTACCCCATTAAGAATGAATAAGAGCTTTTGGCTGACACTTGGCTGCGTTCCTTGTTTTAGCTCTCTTCGTTTCCTGTCTTCACTTTTGGGTTTGTTTATGGGAAAAATGGAAGCTCGTACTTTGCCACCCCAGGTAACTTCCATCTACTGCATAGTGCAGACTCGTATGTGTTGCAGAGATCAGCTTTCTCATACGTAGCCGAAAAGTGAAAAAGATGCGACGATTAAGAAGATGGGGGAAAGAAGAAACAACAATGGACGCAAAGATCGAGAAACGGCCATTGTTGCAATTAATATATAGAGGGTTACTATTTGCCGCCCTAATATTTACTATTTGCCGTCCATAATTTTAGTGAAAATGTCATTTTTATCTCTCATCCATTATAACATCAAACCTCATTCCACAACCACAACACCAGCAGACCATCGCAGTCGTTGGTGTCAAACCATGACCACCGCCGCCACCGCCGCCGTTTGACCGCCGCTACCGTCCGAACGTGGGCGTCGAATCCCGTCCGAACATCGCCGTCGAACCCCGTACGAAAGTCTCAGTCGGACCCCGTCCGAACGTCATCATCTGACCCCGTCCGAAAGTCTCCGTCGGACCCCGTCCGAAGGTCGCCGTCGGACCCCGTCCGAAATTCTCCGTCGGACCCCTTCTGAACGTCGCCGTCGGACCTTGCCTCACCGTCCGTTTTCCTTCTTCGTGTACATGGCCATGCAAATCAATAGAAACGACTAACTACAAAATAGCAAGATTGCCGTAAACATTCCTATTATTATGGGGTCAAAGTTAGATCCGCCAGTGATCCCATTTAATTTGCCTAATTATTAGTCTTTTTATTATATTGACTCTTTACATTCCACCATGTATTTTATGGGCTTAATTGTGTTAATTAAGGGAAGTTTTCTTATTGTTAATTAGGGAATTGAAACTAAACGGGGATTATGGAATAAGATATGTTAATTTAGGATTTTTTCCGGATATCAATTAATTAATTGAAATTAGACGTGGGTGGTTGCTAATTAGGGATGTTGTTTGGTATTCTATAATCATTTAATTTAATATTTATATACAATTAGACGTATGTCATTAGGTTTATTGGTATTATTAAATGATTATTATTGTTTTATAATTATTTAACACAACAAACTCCTTTATTTCTGCCCCAAATGACTCTTCGATCAATCAAACCCAAAAAAATAGTAAGTGAAGCCTTTTACGGGTAAAAAATACAAATCAATAAATAATTAAGGAATTTTTTTCGGATGTCAACCAAAATAAAAAAATTCTACCAAAACTATATCAACGGAAAAATGAATATGCCTTAAAAATCTCCCTTCAAATTTTACCATAAAAACTCCTCTATTTATATATTCCACCGCTAAACAAAAAAAAGAAAGAAAAATACCAAAACTATCTATGAAAGAATCAATCTTTCCTTAAAACTCTCCCTTTCCGTTGCCTAATTATAAGATTTTATAAATATTTGAAACAATCAAACTATTTAATTACTCAATAAATAATTAACAATTCAAAAATGATTTTCGAAAAAAAAAACGCCGGAATTCGGATCCCGTCCGACAAGGGATTTCGATCGCCGTCCGACGCCGGTTGGCGGACCCCGTCTGCAAGGCGTAGTCGGACCCCGTCCGCACGGTGGCGGCGGAACCCGTCCGCACGGCGACGTCGGACCCCGTCCGCAAGCCGTCGTCGGATCGTCCTCCCCGTCCGCACGGCGAGCTCCTTCTTCGACGGCGGCGACGACACCACCCGCGACGAGATCCTTTCTCTTCCGCGTCGGCTATTTGTGAGTGGGGGAGTGAGGGAGGAGGCGGCGGGACCAGGTCGCCGGCTGCGGGAGGAAGAGGTTGGTCGGCGCCGGTTGTGGGATGACGGAGGAGGTTGGTCAGCGGCGATTGTGGGAGGAGGGGTCGGGTCGTGAGAGTGTAGGCAAGATAGGTTTAGGGTTTAATTAGAAGAAGGGCAAAATTGTCTTATGTTATGAAACTATGGGCGGCAAATAGTAAATATTAGGGCGGCAAATAGCGATTGATAAAAATAAAGGTTGGAAAGACAAGAGATTTAGGTAGAAAGGGGTTTGGCAGTTGGATGTAAGTAACACGTGGTTGCATGTGTAGGAGCGTGAGGTAACCGATCTGTTCGGTTCGGAGGTTTTCATTTCAGTTTTCAGGTACCACCAAACTCCTCTCTTGTTTCTTTCCTTGTATGTTATTTGTTCAATATTTCTGTCAAAAACTGTAAAACAGTACGAGAACGAGATGTTGTGTAATAAATAATAATCATGGTTTAGGATACCGGACAGGGCCGGCCGGTCAGACTGGGAAAACCGGAAACTAGACCAAATCCGAAATGGTATGTAAAAATGAGGTAGAATGTCGTGTCGATCGATATTTATTGGTCAAATCGGCCTACTGCGAAGTACCAGACGATTTTGATAATGCCACCAGTTTGCTAAAAAGAAATAAAAAAATATTTCTCCCGACCGTCTGTCATTCCTGATTCCCACTGAGGTGAGGTCGTCATTCGTTGTTCACAGTTCCTACTGAGATTTCTGCTCGCCGTCTACACATACTCGATGGGCATTCACCGTTCTCACCGACCAGAATCGCCGAGTTAAAGTTCTCGCCAATTCATCATTGTGGTTGATGTCCTTAAGTAGGGATGGCAACTAGTCAAGACGGATAGTGCATATCCGTTACCCTACCCAAAGTAGTTCGGGTTTTACCTTAAGTAAGTCAATTCGCTGATCCAGCCCCACCGCTCTAAATCTTTTTTTTTTTTTTTATCATAGTCAGATGAAATAGTAGACAAATATGAATACAATGAGTAAAATAACGTCAGTCGATACTAATCGAACCGGCGATGAAAGAGCCGTTTATGCCACTAAATGGACAGCTCTATTAGTCCCTAAGAATAAGGAAACAAGGCAGCTTTGTCACGACCTGAATGAAGATGCAGCTACATCCGTACGAGCAGCACCACTTGCAACACTGCAAAACAAAGAAAACCAAGGACGGAAAGATGGAACTCATCTCTATCAACCCTGCACCCATCCGTTGCCACACAGAAAAACAGAGACAAATAGAAACCAGACGGATCCGGCGACCCAATCGAACCATATATACATTGGGGACATTTGAAGCTAATATGAAATTAATGAAAATTCAACAAAAAGAATACTTGACTAAGTAACTTCTCGGCAGTTTCATTAGGGTCCATATTGGACTCCTTGAGCGCCATATAGATATCAGCATCGGAGAAATTCCCCACAATCTCTTTAATCGACTGTATCGATTTCCTCACTCTAGCCGACATAATAAGCGCCGCCGGCTGCGACGGCGGCTGAGTCCCACTATGATTCTAGCTTTAGTGGCGGCATAAACAGCGAAGAGCGGATGAGAAGGCAGAACATCAGCGGCGCCGGAGCCTGTACTTTTGCATGGCTGACTCACTGAGGCGTTGTTTTTTTCTTCTTTCTTCCCTTGCTGATTATACCAATTGTTATCCCCCCCTTTCTTTCTTGTATATGGGGATTGTGTTCCACCGCTCTAAATCGCGAAAACGCGATTTCATTGTAATTCTCTAATAATTTGCGAATTATATTATGTCGGAGCGCGAATTGTATTTTGCAGATCGCGAATTTCACTAATCTCTCATGCATCCCGGTTTTCACGAAGGCACTAAGTTGCTCTTCTCCATTAGGACCTCAGCGCCGCCATCCTCAGCTGTCAGCTCAACGATTGGGGGATTTATTTGGGATTCTGGCGTACGGTCGTTGATTCGATCGCCGTCCCACCACTCCACAAGCATGCAGTAGACAGCGGGGGACTTGTGGCTGCGGCAGGCGAAGAGGACAGGGACGGAGGATCTGCGGCAGAGTTGGACAAAAGAGAGGAGATTTGGGTCGATTATTGAGGAGGAGTAGTTCAGACGTCGATTACTAGCAGGGCGAAGGTGTTGGGAACTTGGGATCTGGGTTTTTGTTTTAGGGTCTGGCGATGTCGCCATTTTTCTCAGTTTGCTCCACTGGTGCGAGAAGAAAGCAGAAGAAGGTGAATGTTTTTGGGACATGTTGTCCTCTGGTGGGTTGGAAGGGAGGGAAAAAATCCAAAACTACCACTGTTTAAACAAAAATTTACAAAAATACCACCCACTCCAAAAAATTTCCAAAAATACCACCCTTTATTTAAAACCGCGCCTCTAAGGAGCGGTTTATAAAAAAACCGCGCTCCCAGGCGGCGGTTATAGTAAAAAACGCGCCCCCAAGGCGCGGTTTGACTTTGCATGGCTGTCAAACCGCATTGCCACGCGGCGGTGCATCAAACCGCCCGTCGGAGGAGCGATCTGACGGCTAAAATGGCTGCCAAATAAGCGATCCGCGTCGCCCCACAATAACCGCTCCCTCGAGGCGCGGTTTGACCGTTGGAAAACACAAACCGTCCCCCCGAGGCGCGGTTTGACCATCGGGAAAGGCAAACCGCGTGCTGGAGGCGCGGTTTTTGGTGGCGAGAAATTACTTCACCGACCCTCCCCCACGCGGTTTGATGCCTATATAAACCCCCCTCCACTTCTCTTTTCTGCACACCATCCACCACACTCCCCT